GAAGAGGAGGGAGTGGGGGAGGGGGCGGGGGGAGGGTAGGAGGGTGGCGTCAATTCAGCTGGGGCTCCTCCGGGCCAGGTATTGCAGATTTGTCCCCTGCCCCAGGCTCCAACTTCCCAAGCCCCGCCCCCACCCCCAGAGGATTCCACCCACCTGTGCAAAGCATGCCTGACTTGGCCGACCGCTTGGCTTGCACTATATCTGCAGCTCCCAGGGCCATCCCCACACGGACACAGACGGCGTTGCTGAGCCCCAGGGGAATCTGCGATCAGAGATAAGGTGCCATCAGTAGAATCAACCTCCTGCCTCTGGAAGGGGCTGGATCCTGAGCCAGGAAGAGGCTTGTGCCGGGGGCGGCGGAGGGAGCCTGGGGGAACAGCCCTCTAACCCTCCATCAGGGGGCCAGCTGGAGGACAGCAGGAAGACAGGATGGATCCCAGAAAGGCAGCGTGAGGAGAGAGGGCGTTCACAGCTGAGGTTGGGAGATGGGGTGGGGGCACCCTCAGCGAGCCCGTCAGTCCTGCCCCCACCGGCACCATCAGACATCACAGGCAGGGGCGCCTGGGTGGCTCAGTTGGTTGAGCGTCGGACTTCGGCTCAGGTCATGACCTCCCGGCTCGTGAGTTCGAGCCCCGCGTCGGGTTCTGTGCTGACAGCTCGGAGCCTGGAGCCTGCTTCCGATTCTGTGTCTCCCTCTCTCTCTGCCCCTAACCCACTCACATTCTGTCTCTGTCTCTCTCAAAAATAAATAAACATTAAAAAAAAAATTAAAAAACAAATCACAGGCAGACTGGCCCTGCAACCAGAATCAATGTGTTGCCAAAACCTCGTAAGTAAGTGCATTTTTAAGAGTTGAATGTGGTCTTAAGTATGCCAGAAAAGCTCCCTGTTAGAAAAAACAAAATTCTGGGAAAACCCTTTGTAAAATTAAGCACCTTATACCTTAGTGCTGTAAGTGTAGACTTTTGTGAATCATTTCCTTAAACTCAGAGTGCATGTCCCCAAAGGGTCGCAGTCTGCATGTCCCCAGGAAGCTGGCAGAGGCATACGCAGTAACATGGGACAACTCATGTCTCTGTAAGAAGAGGAGGGAACTATGGGGCTGTGGGGGGCTGGGGGACAGCAGTGAACCCCCAGCCAGGGACACGGTCACCGAGCTCTCGCTGACTCGGGTTTGCAGGAATGTGGGCCTGCTGCTAAACGGAATGTCCCGTTTTCCAAGAAAATGCAACACTTCAGATTATGATGTGAAATATTCCCGTTTTTAAGTGGCACTAATTAATTTAAAAATTCTAACATCATGGGAGTTCAGTATTACTCTCGGTGGAGCAGCTGGGGGCCACCTGTGTGTGTCTGGCAGGGCCCGGACCTAATGGGCACAAGGAGGTCATCTGAGAGAGAGATGGCCTTTAGGGGGACAGCCTGCCCCTCTTCTGTGACACCCCAGGCCGTCAGCGGGGCCTGGCCGGCATGGAGGGCGTGCGGAAGGTACCGCCATAAGATACTCGCCATGTAGACTGCGGTGGCCAATTCGTAGATGATGGCCTGGCCGGAGAGGTCCAGTACGCTGAGCAGGCCTGCGGAAGAGACACACGGTGAGCTCACGGACACGGAACAGGACTCCCCTCTGCTTTGGAGGCCAAGGGGCAAATGACTTCCAAGGGCAGCTTTGCAACAGAAAACGTTCCCGTTTGGCCTTCAGCCTGGCAGGAAAATCCCGCCCAGCTGTGGTGGAATTTCTTACGGGCTGTTCGTTCCCGGTATGGTTTCACTTTCAAGTTGAAAGTCCTTGGTGTCCATGGCATATGGAGAGAAAAGAGACCTGGACCAAGATCAGGAGACCCCAGTTTGGGTCCCAGCGCTGCCACTGGGACTCCGGGCAGTCTCTTGTTCTTGGGGCTCAGTTTACCTATCTGTAAATGAGGGGCAAGGGTTGGACCAGGTGCTCTCTCAGGGCCATTCTCTCACAGGGCCTTGTGATTCCTGGGCTGCGTGGACTCTGCACGGGGTGCTCCGGGGAGCACAGGCGTGTCAGGTGAGAGCCCCCCACGCCTGCCTGGCCCCTGCACGCTCACACCCACGTTCGTTCCGTCCCTCGCTTCCCCCACTGACTCCAACACCTGCCCAGGACCAGGCCCAGAGCCATGCTGGGTTCCTGACATGAAAAGCCCAGGCCTACCTTCTGGGAGCGCACAACCTGGAGAGAGCAACAGCCCCGACCTGGCCGAGGCCGCCAAACCACCCATCCGGAGAGGGGGCTTCCGGGCTGCCCACACGGTTCCCCGAGCCGCGCTCCTCTACATACCCATGAGGAAGCTCCCGATCTCGTAGGCCCACCACTCCATGCACACCATGAGCATGCTGGGAACAGCCAGAGAGAAGAAGGGGCCCCAGTCCTGCAGGCACTGGCCGGACCAGCCTAGGAACAGAAGCCCCGCTGGAGCGCGGCGCAGGGAGCCCATCGCGCACGCGCGCCCACTGCCCGGAGTCCCTGCCCGCCCTTGGCTCCGCCCACTCCCGGGCTCAGCTTCGCAAGCCCAGGCCTCCTGTGTTTTGCCCAAGGTGCACCACGGGTGGCTCGGGATGGGAGCCTCAGGCGTGGGTGAAGGTCGCCCACTCCACCCGTGACACCACGAGATCTTGGGCAACTACCCTGCTCTTTCTGGCCTCCATTCCCTCCTCTGAAAATCTGAGTTCTTTGCCCAGACGCCCCAGAGGGGTTGCTGGGAGGATGGCATGAGGTCAAGGTCAAAGGATTGGATTCTCGGGGCAGATAGGGCCGTGCGGACAGGGAGAGCAGAGTGGCCATACAGGACTCCCTGCCCTGTGAATGAGGCCCCGTCCGGAGGGGCTGGTCCACAAATGCCCGAAAGCGGACCCCGAAATCTATAGAGTTAGCTTTCAGGAGGCAGGAAAGCTCAGAACCGGGAGTACATGGGCACGGGTTCGAGTCCAGCCCCACCGGGCGCCGCCTCTGGCGTTTTGAGCAAATTGTTTACCCTCACTCCATCTCCTCCAGGTAAGTAAAATGGGGATTATAAGGTGGTGTGGAGTAACCGGGGATCGGAAATGTCGAGCACTCGGCCCACTGCTGACACCTAGGGTTTTACCTGCGATCAGGGAGCTGGCCAGAGAGCCCCCTGGGGGCTGTCCCCAGCAGGGCTCTGCACCGTATCACATTGGATGGGGGGCACCTGGGCCTTTGGGGGTAGGGGTGCTGAGGGGTAGAGCAAAGGGGAAGGAGCCCCTGAAGGGAAGTGGAGGCAAGCCCGAGACAAGGCTCCTCCAAAGGGGCTCCCACCGGGCCTTCGTCCACCTGCCAAGTGAACACCCCATGCCCGAGCCGGGGTCCTGCCTGCTGCTGATCTGCTCAGCCCCCCAAAGGCAGGGTGGCCCCCACACCTGCCCACGTCTCCAGGTGTAGCTTCTTCAGCACAATGTAGAGAAAGAGGAAGATGGTCTGCAGGATGTGGGAGATAGTGTTGGCGTAAGCAGAGCCCCTGGGAAAGGAGAGAGAGCTGAGCTGGGGCCAGGGGCCGACTCTGGCCCTGGGGGCAGGGGACTTCTCCCCTGAAGCCAGCATGGAAGGGAAGGGGGCCCAGGCATGGGCAGCCAGCACCCCCATCCAGAGATCAGCCACACCCAGGAACCTTAGTACAGTGTCCCTGAGTCCCCCTGCCAGGTCCCAACGCTCGGCCTCTCCTGGGGGGCTGGGGCAGGGATGAGGAGGGCTCCTCTCCTTGTCTCCTTGGTGGGGAGTCCCCCAGAACTTGAGGGACCAGCAGGGCCCCCAATTCCTCATGACACCCCACTTCTGGACGGCAGGGGCAGCCTCTGCCCTTTTGGCAAGGCAGGGATGGCAACTGACCTGCCCCCGTCAGGGGTGGGGTGCCTGGTGGGCCCCTGCAGCCCAGTGGTCCCGGTGCTCACCTGACCCCCAGGCTCAGCACAGAAACCAGGATGTAGTTGCCCAAGCCATTGATACAGTTGCCCACAATGCCACTGAGGACTTGGGGCCAGACGATTCCCTGAAATAAACAAACACTGGCCTTGCTGGGGCGGGGGGCAGGGCCAGGGGGTGTGGACAAGCCCGGGGACGTCCAGGGGTTGGCAAGAGGCTGGGGACACGCGGCTCCTTACTGGGCCTTGGTCAGTAGGTTCACAGAGGGTGCCGAAAGGGGAAAAGCCCCAGCCACCCCTTCTCGCTGGAATGGGGCAGTGTGTTGGGGCAGGGGTCGCCCTCTGGCCAGGGACCTGTACCTGATTTTGCAAATATTTTGCCAGCAGGCCGTAAAGAAAAAACGCCTGTGTAAAATAAAAACAAAAAACCAGACACACACATAAACAACGACTACCAAAAAAGCAAAACAAACAAGCACATGATGAACATCAGGAGGTATTTCCCTGGTACCTGAGTGAGGGGCAGTTATTTCATCCAAATAGGTCTGGGACCCCAAGAAGCTCACTTAGCATCTCAGGTGCACTCTGGCCCTGCCTATGGGGAGAGGCCCCCTCAAGGCTCGGGCTCCACCGCAGACGAGATACGCAAGCAGCGCTGGCTCTCACAAGGCTTGTGTAAGAGGCCCAGCGCCTAACAGGCCTCCTTGCTGCCGGCTCGGACCTTGCATCAGCTCAGGAAGGCCACCCAGGGGCCCGTGCACAGAAGGGCCCATCAGAGTCCAAATCCACGGGTTGTGACTGCCCTTGAGCCTGGCTCTGGCTGCTGGAACCAAGAATCTGGAGGGAGAGGCCTTGGGCTGGGCAGGGAGATGGGGACCCAGCAGTGTGGCCACCGGTAGGCCCTGCTGAGGGGGTTCAAGCCCCCGTGGGGTGGCAGGACCTTTCCTGTCCGTGGAGGACAGAGAGGGCCTGCGTGTCAGTGTGTGCGTGTTAGGGGTGCTGCCCCTGCCCTTTCTGTCCTCTGCCAAAGCCTGGCCCAGGGCCTGCGCCCTGCTACCCCACCCCTTCCCTTTGCTTCCCTTTGCTTCCCTTTCCCTTCTGCTTCTCCTCAGTATAGCACGGGGCTTAAGAGCACGAGCTGGAACAGACTGCCTGCGTCCAAGGGTTGGCTCTGCCTTTTACGAGCTGTGCGATCTTAGGCAGGTCACTTAACCTCTCTGTGCCTCAATTTCCTCATCTATAACGGGGATGATAATGTGTGTATGCTATGTATCCATATATATTTAAAGTTAATATCAGAAAATGCCTATAAAACAGTATATGGCCCATTTAAGCATTCCAAATGTTAGGTAAGCGTTATGTAAATCCTGTTTGTCATTTTTATTATTACTTGACTGGTAAGTTTTACAGCCGCATTTTAAGGCAAGGACTTGCTTTAGTTGGTAAAGGCGTTGCCACAGTTTTGACGCTCTAGGAGGTTTCTCCCCTGACCCAGCCCCGGTGGCCCTGTTTGGCAAGATACCATCACCTTGGTCTGAAGGGCTGAAGTGTGTGCTCTAGCAAACCCTTGGAGGAGACAGACTGGCCTTTGCAGGTGGTTTCCATAATACAACGGAAATCTGGACCTGACCAGACCCCAGAGGGGTCATGGCACTGGCCTCTCAGGCAGGCGGGTGCGGCCGGGGTTCCTCCTGCCAGGCCTTGGCGTGCTTTAAAGCACCCCACCTTCACCCTTCCCTGATCGGTCCTCCAGCACCCCACCCCCTGGTGTCATAGAGGGTAAAGGGGAGCTGTTGTTCCAAAGACGCAACACTGCCAGCTAGTGACACGTGTCACTGAGTCAAGAAATCAAATAGAGTAGCAATGGATTCCAGAGCAGACATACAGGCCACGGGGTCAGGTGAGAAATCTCAGAAACTGACCTGACTAGATGCATTGCTTAGCTGGGATTTAACGAATTAGTGGAGAAAGGGGAGAACAGGCAATAATTAGTCTTAGTTATAAGTGTGTTAGGTAGATTAGAATCTTAAGTGTAAAAATAAAAGCCACGAGAGGGCTCAAAGAAAATATGGGCAAAATGTTTATATAATCTTGCAATGGGTTAAGTGGTTTTAAGTTCATCAAAGACTTCATAAAGAATGGGATTTATGGGTCTGTTATATATACATTAAAAATTCCTGGGGCGCCTGGGTGGCGCAGTCGGTTAAGCGTCCGACTTCAGCCAGGTCACGATCTCGCGGTCCGTGAGTTCGAGCCCCGCGTCGGGCTCTGGGCTGATGGCTCGGAGCCTGGAGCCTGTTTCCGATTCTGTGTCTCCCTCTCTCGCTGCCCCTCCCCCGTTCATGCTCTGTCTCTCTCTGTCCCAAAAATAAAATAAAAAACGTTGAAAAAAAATTTTTTTTAAAAATAAAAATTAAAAAAAAAAAATTCCTGAGGTCAAGGGGCGCCTGGGGGGCTCAGTCGGATAAACATCAGATTCTTGGTTTCCGCCCCGGGGCATGATCTCACGGTTCATGGGTTCGAGCCCCACATGGGGCTCTGAGCTGACCGTGTGGCGCCTCCTCGGGATTCTGTCTCTGCCCCTGCCCTGCTTGCTCTGTCTCTCTCAAATAAATAAACTTAAAAAAAATTGTTTTTTTAATTCTTTAGGTCAAAAATATCAAAAAATTAGAAGGCAAGTGACCAACTTTAAAAAAAAATTAACAGGCAAAGGGTTAAGATACTAGTTAACAAGAGTTATAATAATTAGGAAAAGATTAACCCACTAAAAAAGGGTCTGGACAGTTCTCAGAAGAAAAACAAAATGATGAAAAAAATACATGAAAAAAAGGTTCATTAGCAATAACACGCATGTGAAAACTGTTTCTAGTTGGGAAAAAATTAAAAAAAAATTTTTTTTCCTAATGTTTCTATTTGAGAGAGAGAGAAACAGAGCAAGTGAGGGAGGGGCAGGGAGAGGGAGACACAGAACCTGAAGCAGGCTCCAGGTTCCAAGCTGTCAGCAAAGAGCCCCACGTGGGGTTTGAATCCACGAATGTGAGATCACGACCTGAGCCGAAGTCAGACATTCAACCAACTGAGCCACCCAAGCGCCCCGCGAAAAATATTTGAATAATAGTACACTGACAAGAGTGTTGCTAGTGGGGATAAAATCTGTACAAGTTGGTATCAGAAGCCATTGACAGAACAACACCAATTCCCATGATGCGCCTGAAGGGAATCGTTACAGATACAAAGACTTTTCTATAAGAACGCTTAGCACGATCTTCTTTCCGCTAGTGAATATTGGAAACAACCTGAATACCTGACAAATTAGGATTGGCTGATAAATCATGACACTGTAGGATAGTGCATAGCCTCCGAAATGGATACTGTGGGAGGCTATTTAATCGTATCGAGAGACTAATATCAGGGGAAAAGCAGGTAATAACACAATATTACGCACACTGACCCTCTTTCAAACCGTACACGTGTATGTGTGTTTGAACCCACGCGTCCACGCGCAGAAATAATCCTGGGAAGGGATCTGACCCTAGAGTCTCTCTGGGTGGCAGGATTAGAAGCGATTAAAATGTTTTCTTTCCCACGCTTCCCACAATTTCTCCAGTGAATGGTTTTCTCATCAAAAAACATGCCATGCTACGTCTTGAAAGTCCAATCTGCGTGGACGGAATGGGACTGCAATTCTGCTGTCCCTTCGGCCAGCCTCAGCGGCACAGCGGAAAGTCGCTGCGGGCTCACGGGCTTCCCCAGCACGTGGCGCGGCAAAGAAAAAGCCGGGGTTTAGGGGGGTGGAAGTCCACCGTCCTCCCAGCTCCGTGGACAGTGACACTTACCGGAAGTGCCGGGATGAAAATGAGCACGTACTCTTGAGTTAACCTGCGAAGGAAACAGAAGCTCCGGAACTGACCAGGCTGTGCCCGGGGCACCTGGGTGGCTCAGTTGGTTAAACGTCCAACTCTTGGTTTCAGCTCAGGTCATGATCTCACAGTTTGTGAGTTCGAGCCCCGTGTGGGGGCTCCATGCTGACAGTGTGGAGCCTGCTTGGGATTCTTTCTCTCTGCCCCCTCCTGTGCTCTCTTCTCTCCCTCTCTCTCTCAAAATAAATAATAAATAGAAATAAACTTAAAAAAAATAAGCAAATGACTTGCCCGTCCTATAAAATGAACACACTATTTCCACGAGGGGACATTTCTAAGATTACTAATAAACGGTGTGATTCATCTGAACTTGGTTCAGCCCTTCTGTCTCTTTTTTGGAAGACGGTGTAGTGCACACTTCAAGTCTCCAAAAGCATCTGGGAAGCCCCAGCTACCTGCTGGGACAGGCAAATCCCATCCATTTTTCTGCCTTTCCTCCTGAATTAAAACTGGCCCTGTATCCTCCCCCTGCTGGTCACAGCTGGAATCGCATGCCGGGCGGGAGAGTCCAAAAACCAAGAACCTTCCCCATATGAGCTGCACTTGTGACGGCTTGTGACCCAGAGAAGCACGGGGGCCTAGGGCATGGCTTCTTTGGCAGCATGGTTGGGGGGGGAGGGGTGGGGTCCCTCCCCGGGTTCCCGGCAGAAGCCAAGCAGTACCTGGACACGGCTGGGTCCTGCCTGAAGAGAAGCAGGATGTTGTGGGTGTTGAGGAAGAGTGCCCAGCAGGGGAGGCAGCAGAGAAGCATCACCAGGGTGCTCCTTTGCAGGATGACCCCCACGTGCTTCTTGTTGGGGCTCCCGAAGCTCTGCAAAAGAGCCCATCCCTGGGTCAAGCTGCTCACACCTTCAGTACCTTCCGTCTGTCCCCTGGGTGAGCCCAGCCAGGGCATCAACCTCCTAGCCAGTGCTGGTGCCGTGGGGACAGACCCAGGACACGACAGGCACCCGTCAACACCTCGGTAGCAGGCATTTGGCCCCCT